TAACGATATCAGTAGATATACTACAATGGCCGGAGTACAGCCAATCCTCGAACCAACGGGATTATCAAATGATTCCCCACAATTGAGGCCTGTTGATATTTCAATCACGACACCTCCATCATCGAAACCAAATTCTCGACGAAAGTTCTCTCGTTTGGCTCTGGATTTGATGATCATATCTCCATTTCAAAATCATCTGCTGGCGGAGAACAAGAACTCGCATCAATCACTAAATACGCTAATCGGAAACGTCAGCAACACCAATTGGCTGAGAGATGCGCTGCTGCAAATCTGGGATACGAGCCCATTATTTTTGAGAGTATGGGGGGTTTGGAAATAGGAGGGATCGAATTCCTCAAAGGGATATGTGCTTTGGTCGATGAGTGGCAACATCATCGTCAGGGCGAAGCGTATCAAGAATGTATGATGGTAGGCTCCACGGAACGATCACCACGCATCATGTGACTCGTTCGGGCCATATAGAAGGGCCGAACCTGAATCTCTGTGTTTGCTGATGCAGGACCCCCTTGCGCCTCGGCCGCGGCGCCGCTTGGCGAACTGAGTGTAGAAAAGTTCTGGAGCCCCGCTTTGATTCTCTTGCTTCTTGGGTTCCTCGTACTCCCGTAATTCGGGAGTTGATGGCGGATCTTTTCCTTTGGGAATACAAAGAACCTATGATTTCGCGGGTGTTTGGTCGTGGCTCTCGAATGGGCACAGTGAAGTACAACTCCTAAGTGTTTTGCACTTTCATGGGAGCAGAAGTCTCTCAGCGATGGAAGACATTTAATTCGTGCCTTTATTCTATTTGGTGTATTTTAGACGATACTTAATTCGTGCTCCTGGGAACATAAGTTTCTCGCACTATCAGAAAATGCATCATAGGAAAGTCCCGAACGAGATTCGGAAATACTACGCCCTATCCATCGGCCCAACTCTCGCCGGATTTCAATATGTGGGACAGGTGTTCGAGGCTACGCGTGTTGCAACGGGGATTAATCCAGAATTCGAGTCGGAATATCCAACGATACTTTTAGGGCGAAATACGAAGGAAAACCTTGTCCCTTCGGGCGCCAAAATTAAAAACCTTCGGGGCGATGCCTCAGGAGTAAAATCCGGAAAAAAGAAATTTCCGCCTCATAACGAATCAAAAGGCGTGAGATTGGGAACCTCATCTATAAGAGAACAATGTTTTGATTACACCTGTTCTGAATTACCCACATTCGAGTTGAATGAACGAGAGCCTCCGCTCCTCCAGCGACCGCGATTGCAAGCTGAGGAGGGAGAAGTCGAGCCCTAATGCTGCAGTATGATTAGCTTGCATTGTCAGCACAGACCTCGTCCGAAAGCCGAAGCCCACTTCTTGCAAAATGATCACCTCACGTGCAACTTGCAAACCGCCGCAGACTGCCCAGCAGACTAGTTTTACTTGAATCTCTATGGCCTCCGAAGTCAATGCACTGGTCATGTGTCTCCGGAGAGTGAAGCGTCCAATGAGCACCTCCATCGTACATTCGGATCATCACCAGGAGGGGTGGGGCAAGAGTTTTTTTGAAGGTCACCCGGGCCGGCTGTGGCCCAAGACTCCCAAACAGGACGAGGCATGCACCACGCGCGAGGCCTTGAGAACCCCCCTATGAGACAGGTACATGTGGCGCAGAGATTATAGAAAAAAGACCGGGACCAGCGATAAGTAAGTGGAGGCGCTGAGGCCTGAACTGGGGAGACATGGTGGGCGAAGGGAGCCAAATCTCGACCCATCAAATCTCGACCAATCAGCAGATGCCGATTGCCCACGAGCGGACAGAGGTAGGATGGATTCGATCAGGACCCTAAGATGAAACATTGTGGAACGATCACCTTCAACGATTGTGGGCGGCAGACTTTTCGCGAAGCCTGTGCGCGAATATGCCAAACTCCTACTGCTGAGGGCGGCACTAAGTCGTTATTCAGAAATCCCCGAATCGAATTTGTCGATTCAAGGCAAAAAAGCACCAGGCATACGTCGGCATACTTCCGCTCCGGCATCGTGGGGCTAGTCGTCTGCCTGGTTGCACTGGTCTCGCCGGGCCCGGCGATGCAGGCGCTGCAAATAAGCCATGCTAACCGAGATCATCTCTTTGTCTTGGGGCCGTTGCTTCGGTACGGGCGGGAAGACGGAGTCTTCAACCTTCAAGTCAACTTCTGTGTGGGGGCTATGCCAGGTTGGAAGCTTTGTCTGAAAGTCATCGATGAAGCTCTTCTCTGCATCGTTGCGTGGAACGACATTCGAAGGCTCCGGTGTGGTCAGCCACTGCAACTCCGCATCGCACAAGCTGAAGACGCGCACGCCGAGCAAGAAACCGGGTTTGCATTGTGGGTGGAAGTCGATGTTGACTGTCCATTCACCACTGCTGAGTTTGTACTCATTGTGCACATCTGGAGACAGATAAACGCGTTTGCCATCCTTTACAGGGCACACTAGTGGCTCGACTTCCGCTTTGCTGTTGACAGGCAGGGCTTGCACCATCATGTAAGCAGGGGACTCATCATCTGCACAGGTTATGACCTGCAACTTCACTGGATTTTCCGGTTTCTGTGGTGTCTGAGAAGCTTCTGAGCCATCCTTGAGTTGCAGCTTCAGTGTTGCGGATGTCGTTTCCTGAATCCGCAGCAGCTCTGATGTTGCCACGCGCCACTCGTTGCTGCAACGAACCGGCTGCATCTCTAACTCACAGTCGGACAGCACCAGCAACCGAAACGACTGGAATTCCGCCTTTTCCGCATGCTCTTGTGCTCGACCCCAGCACCTGCTCATCACCAAACTATGGGTGCTACATGGTGGCAACTGTGCGCCCAGCGCCACCCAATGATTGGATGCTTTCCGATTCTTGGCGACAGCTGCCCCATCACCAACGTACCGTTGAATCGGGTGCCTGCCTATATCGAAAAGCTGCATGTCGAGCAATGGGTAGGAATCATCCGGGCAAGACCCATCGAAACTATCATCGTCGTCTTCCTCGTGCCATGAATGCTTCTTTACGTGCTTCTCGTCTTTCGTGCTGAAGGAGAGAATGAAGCATACACTTGCAGAGGAAGTGGCCGCATTTGTCAGGATTAGCTGCGGGAAAGTAGGCTGAAGCTGCGTCATGGACTGCGCGGATCTGGGTACTGAGCCGCGCCACTGTCCTACAAAGCTGCGCCTCTGCCACCCTTCGGTGGACAAAGGCACGAGCTCTAGTTGATCATCCGCACACACGCTGACCACATATCGCTTTTCCTGAAGTGCAGTGCCCATAGACAACATGAGAATATGGACATCGTCCGTGTCCAGCTCCTCCACGTGCTGGGCTGTTACATCTTCAGACATGAAAGGGGCTGCGCTTTGCAGGCCTTGCCAAAAAAGCGGTGAGTTGAACCCTCTTGCTACGAGGTCTTCCAGGAAGGCTGCGTGATCCTTCTCGTCCCCTTGTGCAGATTGCACATGCTTGACTGTTATGATCCTTGAGACGTGGTAGAGGCTGCGCTGTTGGCTAGCCATCTGCTCACGCCTTGCTTCAGCATCGGGATCAATGACCTGAACACCCAAAATCATGATAAGGTGATTGCTAATTAAGTAGTTCACAGGTTTTTGCATAGACGCCCAGGCAGGAAGACTTCAAAGGGCATCAAGAAGCTAACAGGTTCAACGCCCCCTTTATTTTCGAGCTACTGTATAAGCAACAATCCTCCGAATCTGCCGTGGAACCGAGACCGCCACTGCCACCTTCCGACCTTTGGGAAAGCGCAGCGCGTACATGGGGTTCCTCACATAGCGAAGTCAGGATGCTGCATGTGTCGGCCGAGCAATGGTATAAGTAAACTCCTACTTCACAAGCAGCGCATAAAATTTTGCCTGGGTTCATCCACGACATAGAACACTCTATGGGTCCACCGGCGGTGGCTGGCTGCGCCGTCCAAGCACCCAACTTGACATGCCCGTAGCACTGGATGCCAGCAGCAATATTGTTGAATGCAATCTCCTGGGCGGCTGGCATGATCTCATTGCTTTGGCAAACACGCACCCTGCATGCTTTGTAGCCAGAACCCCCCCTAAGCACTCGCCAGCCCTTTAAGAGGCCTTGGCAAAGGACTTTGCGGTGGCGTGCGCCATGGCTTCCAGGACAATGCGCTTGTGACCGTTGTGGCTGGGGTCGGAGATCTTGCGATCGTTCAGCATGAGCAAGGCTGCGTTCTTCACATGCCGTGCCACCTCGGCCCCGTCGTTTCGGCCAACTTGCTGCTCAGCAGCCTGGTAGCTTTGCGCAACAGCCAGGAGCTGGGGCACAGCATCCACCTTCTCCAAACTGCTACGGAGCTCCTGTGCCGAGGGGGAGGAGCCATAGCAGAGCCGCTGCAGGCACTGAGCAGCTGCTTTCTTCATTCTTGCAGACTCGCCGCTGCGAAGAATACTCAACATCCAGCGTAGGGCATCGGGAGGAAGAGAAATCTCCTCTGCACCGCTAGCGTCGCTGGCCACTTGTCCCAAGGCATTCAAGGCCGCAGCTGCCACGGCTTGTGCGCGGTGCTGCACGAACTTCAACGCCACGGGCACGGCACCTCCTTGTACCAGGAGCCGCCGAGCATCCCTGTCCTGACACAGGCAATGCCATGAACAGTTTACAGAGTTTACAGAGACATAGACTAAGAACTCTGCGGCTTGCTTGCTACACTGGCCTGGGCAATCGCTTCCATCAGCGTCATGTAGTCGAGAATACGAGCCTCATCGCTGTTGGCGTCAAGGGGAAAGCGTACGCCAGTCGTGACGTCCAGCACTTGTTGCACCAGGCGCCGAGCGATCTCTGCGTGATTAAACCTGCTGACCCGCTCCATGTCCAGGATACGGCACAGACACTGCGCCAAGCGCTGATGATAAAAGACCTTCTTGGTCTTTTCCATCTTCTCCAGAATCTTCTCCAGGCCACCGAGTTGGTAGAAACGTTGCTTCCAAGATGGGTGCGCCAAGAGCAGGTGCTGAAGGGTCGAGGTGGACCCTGGGAGTCCCTCCACTGCTTCCTGGAGCTCGTCAGTTCCGAAGGCTGCCAAGTCCTCCAGGAGCTCTGCCTTCACCTCAGAGTGCAAATTGGAATTCCAACAAGGCACGAGCTTTGCCGAACTCTCACTGCATGTAACGAGCGTCTTGAAGAGTATGTGACATACTATGAAGCAGGTGAATGGCGAGCACAGCATGGTTCCAGAGACCTCAGAAGAAGCTACCCCATACTAGCCGGTGGTTGAAACTTTCGCTAGCCAGCTAGCGCTTTCTGACAATGTAGAAGTGAAATGCAGCCTTGGCGTTTCCTTCATCCACAGCGCCAGAAAAGCAGCTGCTGCTGCCGATCTTTTTTTCCACCGGATTAGCCGACACCGGGCAACATTTAGGTGGAAAGAGTGAGGTTTGACACAACATGCTTTCGGCCCAGACTTCTATGGACTCCAGAGACTTCGAATATCCTTTGGTCCCGATTCCCTATGAACCCTAAACCTGCAGCAAGTCTTGTCTCTTGCATGGCATCAAATGAGGCCGTCATCCGGCACGATGGCCTGCACAATGTATATATATATATATACATATACATGATGCATCTCTCTATCTCTATCTCTAGCGCTCTCTCTCTCTCTCTTCTTCTTCTTCCTCCTCCTCCTCGTCTTCTTCTTCTTCTACTCAGCGAAGAGGCCCCCCGAGGGTGGCCCCGGCCGCGCTTTTCTCGCTGAACGGTCCGTCTCTCTCTCGATCTCTCTCTGCCCGGTGAAATGCCACGAGAGCTACGCTGAAATTAAGCTGCTGACAGGGCCATCATCCCGCGCGCCAGCCAGGTGCAAGCTCGTCTCCAGTTGCGTGAGCTCCTCCTGCTTCTTCTGCAACTTTTCTTCCAGCGCCCGCTGCTGCGCGGCCTCCGTCGCGAGGTCGGCGCGCCGCTCTGCTGACAACCCGGTCGAGTCCAGCAAAGCGTCCAGGGCTGCCAGCTGCTGCCGCCGAAGCTGCTGCACCTCCTCAGGCAAATCCTCTCCGTTCTGCACCTCCTTAGCGGCCGAGTGTAGAGTGCGGAAAAAGCCTTTAGGAGAATCGAGCGATTGTTGAAGTGATGCTTTACTATACTCATTGCATTTTTCAAAACCAGGTGAGATTCCTCCCTGCGCTGCAGGAGCCACTGGAGCGACTGGAGATGCACTTCATGCTGGTCCACAGCCTTCTGGAGCTCCAAGAGGCCGCTTTTGTCACCTTTGTCCAACTGCTCCGCCCACTGCGGCCAGGCCTGCTGGAGAATCTCCGGGTATCGCTTCTCAACCTCTTTCAGCAACTGCCGAACATCTTCTGCAGAGGCCTTGTCAAGGTCTTTGCTCAATCTTTCGATTCGTGGGGCCAGCCTCTGGCTTTCGAGTTGGGCCCGGAGCTCCTTGATGTCCTGGCTCCTCCTTTCCAGCTTCTTCTTCAGCTTCTTGATCTCCTTGTCAGACTCGGACTGAAAGGACTGCACTGCGGGGGCCTCCACCTCTTTGGCCTCTGGAAGGCGCTTGTGGTCAGCTGCCTTCAAAAGGTCTTCAGCTGCCACGTGCACGGTGGCCTTCTGGGCTTTGTAAGCGAGCTCCAGCCGCAAAATGAACCGCGCCAGATCCAGCGTCTCCGAGGTTTCGGGGATCCTGTCGACATCCGCAAGGCTCGGACAGTTTATGACGAATGAAATCCCAGCATCCCCACAGAAGTCCGGCGCGAGCAGTCGTGGCAGGCTGAAGTACGTGAATGGCACCGCCTTGCCTTTCACCTTGGCTTCGATGCAATGCCGAAGATTGCTCAAGCCTGCCTGAATGGTGATGTGATCCTTAGTGGCTGAGAGAAACTTTGAGGTGAGTGGAAAAGTGTTCACCGTTGGGTAAGGGGCTTTCTGAATACCCCCAGCCAGGTTAACGGCGACTTCTCTATACTCGGCACCCGAGGATCTTTCTTTGCATCGGTGCCCAACTTCTCATGCAGCTTCTCACATCCCGCGAGGTCAGCCAAATCCAGGACTGCACTAAGTCCGACGCCGCTGGAGGTGAACTGGATCTTCATGCGCAGCAAAAAGTGACTTCGGGATTTGGCTTTTGCTTTGCGCCCGAGGACCTCCTTGAGCCACACGAGCGCAGGCTCTGCGCTCTTGAACTCAAACTCTTGCGCCCCGGTGTTATCCGAATAGTTCCCGCTTTGGACTTTGAGATCTTTGAGGTTGGGCATTTCTGCAAGGCCGAGATCTGTGAAGTCGCTCCTGTGAAGCTGAACGGCTTGCATGCTCACGGTGAGGTCCGGTAGGCCTCGCAGGAACAGCTCCTCGATGAGGCGCTGGGCCAAGCCCTCCTCCGCGCCGCTCCCCAGCATCGTGTGCGTCTTCCCAGATGCAGTGACTCCGTAGGTACAGATGAGGCCTCGGAAGCCTCTCAGGACAAAGTCAAGCATCTCGGGACCAACCTTAGAATAAACAGCATCTTGCGTGGCGTCCTCGGTAAATGCATGATCCACTTGCACCTTGACCTCCTTCCACTCATCTTTGTCCTTCTGAGATTTCCATGGAAATTTGATCGTGTGCTCAGCTTCCAGCGTGATGTGCTTGTCGGCCTCTGTCTGCCCTGCGCCTGGCGGGATACCAGGCCCTTTCAGTGCCGGAAGCTTTACCTCCGCCGAAGGACGAAACCGCACATACACTCGAGGACGGCCATGCATGCTCGGAGGCCAAGTCGGAAGCAAATTAGATGGCCCGTCTTGAGCCTTCCGCGCATTTCGACACGCAAGCCTTGTGATTCAACCGCGCACCCTCAGTCTGTCAGTAGCTCACGATAGCCTGTTGCGTTTGCGGCAGGTGTACCCTTGCAACGCTTTCGGATGTTGCTGCTAATTGTTAATAGTTAGCGCTGTACGCATTGTGCGATGACAAGAGCCCAAGAGTCTAGAAGACCGGGGGATCATGGGTAATGATTTGAGATGCCGGTCTCTTCTCAAAGTCGCGATAGGCTTAAGGGCACTCTTTGGAAAAGGAAGCCACGCAATTCTCAGTCATCAGCTCAGCGACATGATCCTATGATGTTCTCTGTCCTTCTCTTGCAGATCGGCCAGTCTAGACTTACTTCGCCATCTGCCGGGACAAGCACGAAATGGCACGAAACCTGATCGTGCTACCAGGTCACAAAGGCTGGGTGGCAGGGTTTTGTTCTTCTGGTGGTTGATTTGAAGCCACTCGTGGTGCAGCAAAGCCCTTTGAACGACATCTTCATGACTGAGCACATGCTCGTGATTAGAGTCTAGAGGTACTGAGCTCATCAGTGACCTTCGAATTACAAAGCTCCTGCGTTGTGCAGGAGCCTTGCTGTACAAATTGCATCTTAAACCACGAGAAGTGCTGGCTGCTCTGCTTTTGCATGCCTGCAGATGCAATGGCCATGGGAGGTGCCAACGCAGCCCTCGGGATCTGAGCAATCTCCAGCTTTCAAAGCCTTGAAGCTTCCTGGCTCCAGCGCCTCCTTCGCTTGGCCCCAGAAATCTTGCCAAGCCCGGGGCAAGCGCTTGGCCGTCCGGCCTTGTGAGCGGAGCCTCCGTGCCTCTTCCCTCAGGTTGAGCAGAGAACTCAGAGAGCCTGCAGTGGCATTTAGGACGTGTGCTGTTCTGGGGTCCAAAAGTCGAGGCTCTGCTAAGGTGACAAGGTGGCCGCCTCTGGTACTGAAGTTCCAGCCGCACGATCCATCATCGTCCATGATGCCAAGAGACCAAGCCACCGGCCAACTGTGTAGCTTTGCCCACTCGATCAATCCCTTCTCCTGCCTCGTGCCGAAAAGCCTAGAGAAACTGGCGACAATCATCCGCACAGCCGAGGGATAATACAACTGGCCAAGCGTGCCAGCTTCCAAGTAGCCATACATGTCACGGCTCTGGCTGGTATTCAGAGGCACCTTCTCAGGCATCAGCATTCTCCCCAACACGCGTGCCATGGTGTCAGCCCCGTGCCCTTGATCAAAAGAAGTTAGCCTTGCATGGGCCAACAAGCCTCAGCTATCTTTTGGGACCCCAGGCGAAAAGTTGAAAACTCTCAGCCCCCGATTACAGATAGTAGACCACCAAAAAGTTAAAAGTCCTTCAAGCCAAGCAAAAAGACAGCTAAGAGTTTTTATAGGACCTTATACGCCCTTGTTCCCGCTAAGGTACCCATATAACAGTAAATACACACATATATATATATATGTGTATGTGCAAAAATATGTTGTCATGTATGTGTACATATACACACATATAACCGTACATAATTCTTATCGCTCGATACACCCACTTATCCTGGTACACCCTCAACCCAACCCCCAACCCTCAACCCTGGATCCAAGAAGCTGTGGTCGTAATGATCCAGTGTTCCTGGCTCGCTGGGCAAGGGCCATGCAGAGCAGTTGGTGGTATTCGGACCTGGCTGAGGGTTGAGGGTTGCTTGTTTGGGGTTTAGGGTCCTTTACAAGGGTCAGCGGGTTCCCTTTAAGGTGCGGGCACCTATTTAAGGCTTTACGAAGGAAGAAGCATGTGTTCTGGGAATCAACCCAATAGCTTCTCGGTGGGGTGAATCCTTTGTTTTGGGCTCTCTCAACAACGACCTTCTGATGTTCGGATGCCCCCGGTATAGAAGTAGTTTGGCGAAGCGGGCCTGACATGTTCCTGCAGTCTGCGTTCCACCAGCCCGTGTCCATAGGGACGAGCAAGGTCATTTGCCGAAGGTATTCCCGTGAAAGAACCAATCTGACACTGCCGTACTGACATTCCTGAGTTCTTGTCGCCTGGTGCATACGTAAGACTTATGACTTATGCGTTTCATTTCCAGGCAGGAGCCCCACTTTGACTTCATGAGGAGGCACAAAACGCATCAAAACGCAAAGAAACTCCCGAATTTCCACCGACATGCGCCCTCATCCAACCGCATGATGTTGTATGCAACGTAGATCAATCTGTCCCGGGCCTCTGTGATGGATGAGGGCCTTGCCAAACCTCCCTTGAACGCGCGACAGCCGAAAAAGGACTGTTGCATCACATCCTCCATCTCCTGCTCGCCGCGGTCGCAGTTGGACGAAAGTCCCAACACGTCAAGCTCCCACGAGTTGTAGAGATGGCGAGCTGAGGTGGCGATGCTTAAATTCATGCCGCACATGATGGGCTCCTCTGCAGCGTCTGCCGGGAAGCTGGTCAGCAACTCTGTGACCTCCATGTCCTCCCTTAGCCTGCTCAACAATGCCTCGGGCCCTTGGCGCGCAAGATGGGCCGCAACACCTCCCAAGCTCTCCAAGTGCTGCAGAAGACGAGGGTGACCCAAAAGGTTCAGCAGGTCGCCTGAGGCCGCAGCTGAGGCCGACTGAGCTTTGGCTGCCTGTTCTTGAAAGATCTGCTGCTGAAATTTCGACATGCGCTGATCATAGTCCTGCCCCTCGGCGAGGAAGACAAGCAAGAGTGCAAAACACCATTGCCGGGGTTGACTGGCGCTCAATTTGGCCATGTCCCTTGCATGCGCATACGAACCAAGGCGCCTGCAAGGATAGCAATTGGGGATACTGAGCATGCTTGGTAGAACGAAGGTGCATCTGTGCGTCCCTGACGCTGCAAGCAGCCAAGGTGCTCTTTCGTGAGCAACTACAAGAAGAACAGCAGAAAGAGCAACAGCAACAGCAACAGCACAGCAACAGCACAGCAACAGCACAGCAACAGCACAGCAACAGCAGCAGCCACAAGCACAAGCACAAGCACAAGCACAAGCACAAGCACAAGCACAAGCACAAGCACAAGCACAAGCACAAGCACAACTTTCACAACCACAACCGCAGCCGCAGCCACACACCAACCACAGCAATAAATAATTACAAACAACAACAAGAAGAAGCAGGAGAAGAAGAACAAGAACAAGAGCGAGAACATTAACAATTACAAGACCACCACCACTGCCATGCCCACCACTACCGACGCCGACGCCCGACGGCAAAACAACAAACAACAAACAACCAAGCAAACAAACAAACAACACAATCAAACAGCCAAACAAACAACAGCAACAACAGCAACAAGATCACAACACAAAAAGGTGGCAAAAGTGCGAAACTAACGAGTGCTCGACAGATCACGGCATCGCCTCGCTTCGTGAATCTGCACCGCCAATGCATCCGCGACCCTGCAAGAAGGAGCCACGCGGCAACGCACAACTTTTTGGCTGCAGGCACGATGCACAGATGCTTGATACTACCTCGTTATGTCCCATGTGGAGTTAGACACTAGTTGAAGTGATCGGCATCGTTCAGCCACTCAGAAGGGCCTCGCGCAGCAAACACTGTGGCTTCTGCAGCCACGGTGCCGTCGGCAGAGAATGCACGAGCGGACAGGGACAAGTGAGGAACTCGCCTGGTTGTGAAATGGCATTCTGGTGGAGACAATCGGAAGTGTGGCGCGCAAGGACACTCCCTCAGGGGAGCAGGCAGCATGAACATCTCTGGTGCGTATCTTTCCACGCACCGACAGTCAAGGACCACAATGCCCCGTGGCTCATGGCCAGTATGTGAAAGCTGTCTCGCCAGCGACCTTGCAACGCTTGCACCGAAACTATGACCAAGCAAGATCAATCTAGCTCTCCGGATTTCCAGGAACTATGTGACTTGCCACAGCTCTCATTACGGTGAAAAGAGGTGAACGATACCACACCGAAGGCTTCAGCCGGAAGCCCCAGAAGGACCATTCCCAGATACCACCAAAGGTGGCCTGTGAAGGCGCAGCTGTGCCGGGCTGCGCCCGAAATCGCGACAAGCGCCGTGCCTCCTGCCATGCCCGCAATGCCTCCACCATCTGCACTTCCTTGGCCTCGCTCACCTTCTAAGATTCTACTTCAACCCACATGACCTCTTTCAAGCTTCAGGCACTCCCGGGGCACTTCGACTGGAAGGCCAGGGAAGGCTCAACGGGATAACGATGACTGCAGCACCGCATGGACAGGGAACACTTGCAGGCCATCACAGGCACACCACAGACGTCTGCCGCACTATGCCGAGGTTTTCCCCGATGGTGCTGAACACTGCCTCTGGCCTGGTCTCGCTGACGAGGCTGAGGCATGGAATTCCTGTCTGCGCGCGAGAAAAAACCGTAGCAGGTGCCCCTGCGCGAGACCTGCCGCTTCTTGCTGCGCCGGATCCAAGTCAGCGGCCGGAAGCTAGCCATCACGAGGATATTTGTAGATGTCAATGCAACGCAAACCACAACCTGTATCCCCGCGGGCGTCACTCCTGCACGTGCTGCCTCTGCGGGTTGTTTGCCTGCTCACTGCCTGGAACCGGGGCTAAGGCAGCTAATGGCGTTTAAGAGGAACCCTCGAGCATGGCACACCACAGACGTCTGCCGAAGTTTTCCCCGACGATGCTGCATGGAATTCCTTACTGCGCGCGAGAAAGACCGTAGCAGGTGACCCTGGCGCGAGATGCGCCGGATCAAAGTCAAACAGCGGCCGGATGCTAGCCATCACGCGGATATTTGTAGGTCGTCATGCAACGCAAACCACACCCTGTATCCCCACTGCTGCCTCTGTGGGCTGTTTGCCTGCTCACTGCCTGGAACCAGGGCTAAGGCAGCTGATGGCATTCGTCAAACGGTTGCGGAGGTTTGGAGCTCTTAAGCTGGCTTCTGAACCCGTCAGGGATCTCGGAGAAGGGTCTTTGAGTGCGATGCAT